TGGGGCCTGAACTCTGGGCCTGGGCGCTGTCCCTCAGCTCTTCAGCTCAAGGCTAGCGCTCTACCACTTGAGCCACAGTGCCACTTCCGGCTTTTTTTCTTTTGTGGTGCTGGGGAATCGAACCCAGGGCCTCATGCATGCAAGGCAAGTGCTCTACCACTGAGCCACCTTCCCAGCGCCTGGCCGTGAGTCTCTTATCACCAATAAACCACTCAGAAAACCAGAAGTGGCGCAGTGACTCAAGTGGTAGAGTGCTACCCTTGAGCTGAAGAGCTGAGGAAGAGCACTCAGGCCCAGAGTTCAAGCCCCACAACCGACAAAAAAAAAAAGAGTGCTTTTTTTGTTTATGTGGCACTGAGGAATCAAACCTAGAGCTTCATGCAAGGTAGACAAGCACTCTACCACTAAGCCACATTCCCAGCCCCTTAAAATCTATCTATCTTATCTACCTACCTACCTACCTACCTACCTATCTATCTATCTATCTATCTATCTATCTATCTATCTATCTATCTATCTATCTATCTATCTATCTGTCTGTCTGTCTGTCTGTCTGTCTGTCTGTCTGTCTCTCTGTCTCTCTGTCTCTCTGTCTGTCTGTCTGTCTGTCTGTCTATCTATCTGTCTATCTGGGTTGTGGGGCTTGAGCTTGGGTCTGGGCACTATCCCTGAGCTCTTTTGGCTCAAGGCTGGTGCTAGACTATTTTGAGCCATAGCACTTCTCTGGCTCCATTTTGAAATTTTAAAAATACCCTTAAAGGTTTTATTGCTCACTAGCTACCTTGCATCTATCACCCGAGTTCTTGGAGCCGTTTGTGGGAGGAACAGGTCTGTGGGGCAGACTGCAGACTCTCTATTTAGAAATTCCTGGGACAGACTCTTACCTTGCAGTCTTAAAATAGTTCCTAATCAGATTCTGATCTCCAGAGCTCCCCAGATTGGGGAGCCCCAGCCAGTCACCTGGGCAGTAATTAGCATTAAACCACACCGAGTCCATTTCTCACTTCACACTTTATAGCCCGATTAGTTCTACTCGAGCAGTAATGGGGAGAGCTGTTTAGTATTCATAAATGCCACATCACATTGGGAAATAGTTCTCTTAGAGAACTTAGCGTTCTGGTTTTGTTTATTTGTTTATTTATTCATTGTTGTTGGTGATGGTGGTGCTAGGGTTTGAACTCAGGGCTGGTATATACTTAGATTGTTTTCTTATACGTTGCTCTACCACTTGAGCCACACCTCCAGGCCCACTTTTTGCTGGTTATTTTAAAGACAGAATCACCTCAGATTTTTCTGCCTTGGATGGCTTTGAATTGTCATCCTCCAGATCTCAGACTCCTGAGAAGCTAAGATTACAGGTGTGAGTCACTGGCGCCTGGGTGGAGATTCCCAGTTGAAATAGTCACCAGTGTTCACATGACCCGGCACTCGTCTTACAACTATCTCTTTCACTGCTTTCCATGTTGAGTGAAGATGAGCTCACTTTTGTTGCTATCTATGAAACCATGTGCTTTTCTTGGCTGGGTTGGGAAGCAAGAAACCAATGACTAAGATTCCTCCATCTCTGAGCTGGCTGTTCAGCAGCTTCTTCCTTTCCTAGCTTCCTGAGAAAAGGAGCTGCTGTTGGTGGGGAAAAAGCAAAAGAGGTTGATAATATCTATCTATCTATCTATCTATCTATCTATCTATCTATCTATCTATCTATCTATCTATCTATCTATCTATCTATCTATCTATCTATCTATCCTATCTATCTATCTATCTATCTATCTATCTATCTATCTATCTATCTATCTATCTATCTATCTATCTATCTATCTATCTATCTATCTATCTATCTATGGCAGTGCTGGGGATGAATCCAGGGTACCAAGCATAGTAGGCAAGAACTGCACCGAGGAGCCATGTCCTCAGCCCCAAAGACCATTTTCATAGCAATTCATTCAATGAGAGTTAACTGTGCAGTGAAATTGGGCTTTGAGTTCTGCCACCTGCAAGACAGAACACTGGATAATGATTACACAATGAGCCACCAGATTATAGTTCCTCTCAGTCCTCTCTGTCTTGAGGACACTGACTTTTGTCCAAGGCCAGCTATGTGCTCCCAGAAGGCTGAGGGATCCCAGCTAGCTTCAGGTACATTCATCTGTGGGAATTTCACATATAATAGTGTGTGTGTGTGTGTGTGTGTGTGTGTGTGTGTGTGTGTGTGTGGTTTAAGCTCAGGGGCCTGGGTTTTCACTCTACCACTTGAGCCACAGCTTGACTTCCAACTTTTTGGGTAGTTATTTGGAGATAAAAGTCTCATAGACTTTCCTGTCCAGCATGGCTTTGAACCATGATCCTTAGTCTCAGTCTCCCAAGTAGCTAAGATTACAGGCATGAGCCTCTGGTTCTCAGCTCAGTTATGAATTCTTTTTTTTCCCTACCTTCTTTCATACATGCTTTTCTTTTCTTTTTTTATTGTGAAAATACTGTACAGAGGGGTTACAATTACATGAGCAAGATAATGAGTACATTTCTTATCACGCATTGTTGCCTCCTCCTATGTTTCCCCTTCCCATCTCCCCCCAGCTCCCCCCTCCTGCCTCCTCTACCCCCCTCCAGCACCAAAGTTGTAAAGTTCATTTTTTGACATAATGTCTTATACATCTCATTCTTGCAATGGGTCCACCTTTATCCCTATTTAAACAGTATTTTTTCCCTTCCCCTTCCCAAATTATACCAACATCAAATACAGTGAAAATAGGAGTTATACCATGGGGGAAGGACATTCAAAGCAACAAAGAAATCATCTTATAAATATGTTAGAAACAATAGCAAGAAAGAAAAACAATCTGAGTCCTTATCTTGGGGTTCATTTTTGCCTGACATCAACTTATCTGACCATTTCTAATTGTCTCAGACATATACTAGCTATTGCAAATAAGGGAAACCATGGGGCCTATGTTTCTTTGGGCCTGGCTTACTTCATTACAGGATGGAATAGGAGAAACCCTAGGTCTCCTTGGCACAGGCCAAGATTTTCTTAATAGAAACATAACAAATCAAAGAAAGATTGGACAAATGGGATTGCATGAAATTGCAGAGCTTCTGCAATAGCTAACAAGATCAATAGAAAGCCCATGGATTGGCAGAAGATCTTCACTAGCCATACAATGGACAAAGGTCTCATATCTAAAATATACCTGTAACTCAAAAAATTAAATCCCCCTTGGGACTGGGAAGGTGGCTCAGTGGTAGAGCGCTTGCCTTGCATGCTCGAGGCCCTGGGTTCAATTCCTCAGCACCACATAACCAAAAAAAAAAGAGAAAAAAAAATTAAATCCCCCAACAACAAATCCTCAAAGAAACAACTGTCCAATAAATAAGTGGACTAAGGACTTACAGAGAAACTTCTCTGAAGAGGAAAGAAGGATGGCTAATAGACACATGAAGAAATGTTCAACCTCCGTAGCCATAAAAGAAATGCAAATCAAAACAATATTGAGGTCTGGGAAGGTGGCTCAGTGGTAGAGCGCTTGCCTTGCATGCATGAGGCCCTAGGTTCGATTCCTCAGCACGACATAAGCAGAAAAAGCCAGAAGTGGCACTGTGGCTCAAGTGGTAAAGCATTAGTCTTCAGCTGAAGAGCTGAGGGACAGTGCCCAGGCCCAGAGTTCAGGCCCCACGACAGGACCCCCCCTCAAAAACAACAATAACAACAACATTTAGATAGCACCTCACCCCAGTTAGAATGGCTATTATCAAGAATTCTAATAACAACAGATGCTGGAGGGGATGTGGACAGAAGGGAGCCTTACTGCATTGTTGGTGGGAGTGTAAACTTGTTCAACCACTTTGGAAAGCAGTATGGAGGTTCCTCAAAAGACTCCACACAGAGCTCCCCTATGACCCAGAAATTTCACTTTTGGGCATTTACCCAAATGATCACAAACAAGACCATACTAAAGCTACCAGCACAACTATGTTTATTGCAGCATTATTTACCATAGCTAAGATATGGAAGCAACCCAAATGCCCCTCAGTAGATGAATGGATCAAGAAAATTGGTATATATACACAATGGAATTCTATGCCTCCATCAGAAAGAATGACATTGTCCCATTTGTTAGGAAATGGAAAGACTTGGAAAAATTATATTAAGTTATGAATTCTTGTAGGCATGTACTCTGATGTGCACAGAACCAGCAGAACCAGAATCTTCTCTGGATAAGCAGTTGATGCAGACACATTTCCCTCTCACGACAGGCGATGCTCTGGGGAATGAAGAATGACCAACTTGACTTGGGTTCTGGAAAGTTAAGCATTTTGGTAAATGGGATTGTTCACATTCCTGTGGCATGTCAAGTGAAACAGTCATCTGTTGCAGCGCCTTTGCCGGAAGCAGGTAGAAGTTTTTTAACCAAACTTTAAGAGAAAATGCTGGGCATTCAAATGCACTGTGTAACCTGCAAAAGAGGCTTAACTGGGGTTTTAGGCCGTACTTTGTAGCCAATGGGACAATTTCTAAGACTTCTTGTCACTCAGCCTACTGTCAAAGTGCCTACTTTAGATGACTGGGTGCCATTTTAGATGACTGGGTGCCATTTTAGATGACTGGGTGTAGCACTTCGGGGCTAACCCAGCTGCAAACCTGCTGAATTAGTGACCGTTATTATTTGCACATCAAGCAGAGCCCTCAGTTAGCTAAATCTGGGGTGCAGAGCCAGGTTTCCACAAGCAGCTCCACCCCATTTCTGACGTGGTCACTGGACCCCCTGAGCACAGCCTTCTGATTACTGCTAGGCCCTACAGAAACTTCCTTCTAGAAATGGGGACTCTGGTGTTTACTCTGGCGTTTACTCTTTGGCAAAGGACTCTGTTTATTCTCCTTGGCTCAGGGAAGCTGCTGATGGCCCTTAGAGACAAGGAGCCTTTAGTTGGGAGGAGGTAGCCTGGGATCCAGACTGGTGTAATGGAAAGGTGAATCCTTTCATGACCAGCCAGTGTCGTCTATTCCCCAACCTTCGAATGCATCTCATGACTGTGGCCTACGATGAGCGCTTCCTGCTGACAGGGAAAGGCAACAGCGACCCGCGAGCTGCCAGTGAACTGGGGAGCTGGGTGCTGGTGGCTCACAGCTGTCATCCTAGCTACTCAGAAGGCTGAGATCTGAGGATCACAGTTCCAAGCCAGCCCCAGGCAGGGAAGTTCATGAGACTCTTATCTCCAATAAACTACCCAGAAAAAGCCCAAAGTAGTACTGTGGCTCACGTGATCGAGCACTAGTCTTATAGCGCAAAGAGGTCCCAGGACAGTCCCGAGTTCAAGCCCCATGATTGGAAAAAACAAAATAAGCAAACAAAAAAGCCCCAAAACGTGGGGAGCCAGAGAAGAAAGAAGGAATGGAAGGACACGCCCAGGACAGGGTATTAGAGCTCAGGAAGAGGAGTTTTGCCCCCTGCCCCCAACTTTACCCTTATTTCACTGGGGACCAGTGGTGTGAAGCCTCATCAGCCACCAGAATGCTACCCTCTGGGGACAGAGCTGGGGCCTGTGCTCTGAGCTTTGGAGTCTTTCGGTGGCGCCCAACCCTACGCTCTATCCTGAGTTTCCTTTCTAGAAGAAATAGTTTAATCTGAATTTGGTGACTCAGCCTGGGGGGAGGGAGGCTGTGCATTTCTTGCCCCCTTGGATTCCATAGTAATCCCAAATTGGAGCAACTGGCTGCACCAGCTCCCCCAGTACCCTGCCCCCCTTTTATCCCTCCAGTGGACCGAGAAGGGATTATAGGGGCTGGACACACCTTCTCAGCACATTCTCAGGACTTGCCCCATGAAAAACTTGCTCTTAGGTCTGTACCTTTTGGAGCCCTGAAGTAAAAGCTTTTTTTTTTTTTGGTGCATTCTGGGGATTGAACTCAGGGCCTGGGCACTGTCCCTGAGCCTCTTTGGGCTACAAGACTAGTGCTCTACCACTTGAGGCACAATGCCCCTGATGGCTTTTTCCTGAGTAATTTATTGGAGATAAGAGTCTCATGGACTTCCCTGCCCAGGCTGGGTTTGAACCATAATCCTCAGATCTCAGCCTCCTGAGTAGCTAGTACCCAGCTTGAACTAAAACTTTCTAGGCCCAGTGTTTCTCTGAGACCAGGTGGGGCCAGCAGGAAGGCACACTTGAGCAGATGTAGATTGCAGGGCCCGGGGGTGTGCTTGCTGCTGGGACTGTGAACCGGACTTGTGAACGCACAAGTCCGATCTGGGCTCCCGTGGAAACTAGCAGCATTTGTGGCTCTTTCACTCAAGCATCCTTCTGATGGCCAATCACGCCTTTCTAACTCAAGTCTTTCTTTTCTTTAAAAAAAAAATGTAAACTTTAAACTGTAACCCCTCTGTACATCACCTTCATAATAGGGATTTCAAAAAAACTTCTTAAAAAATGAAACGTTAATATTAGCATATCTCACACATTGCTCCAGCTGGCCTTCAGCTCCTGACCTTAACTTATCCTCTGGCTTCGCCTGTCCAAAGTTTTCTCTTTCTCTTTCTCTCTTTTTTTTTGCTAGTCCTGGGGCTTGATCTCAGGGCCTTAGCACTGTCCCTAGAGCTGCTTTCGGCTCAAGGCTAGCACTCTACCACTTGAACCACAGCACTACTTCTGCCTTTTTCTGTGTATGTGGTACTAAGGAATCTGACCCAAGGTTTCATGCATGCTAGGCAAGCACTCTACCACTAAGCCACATTCCCAGCCCCAAATTCTTTTTGAATGGGTAATAAAATTATTCTAAGGGCTCCAAGTACATAAGGGTATGGAGAGGAAAGTGCCCTCTCCTAGACCTCTCGTGCAGCCCGTGGTAAGGGGTCATGTTGGCCTGACTTCCTCTTGGGGAGACCCTGCCCAACAAACACAAGTTGGTGATGTGAGGAATTTTCTTTCAAATAAACTCTTGCTTGCAGTATATTGGTCCTTAAGTCTAGCCATGCTAGGAACCTTCCAGAGCCACTAAGAGGCCACGGACAGGCTAGCTTTGGCGGACAGGGAGTGAATCCCAAATGAATTCATTTCCTCTAGGATCTTGGACAATCCTAGCCTCTCTCCAAGGGGCTTCCTGTGCAAAACAGGAGAGCGAGCATGAAAAAGCTTCCAGGGTCAGATGACTGATCAAGGACCTCACATATTCCCGGACATAGGTATGGTACATACAATTCTTTCACGAATACTAGTTCAGAGTCTTCCACCTAACAAAAAGGATTAAACCAGCTGTAGGGGGCTGAGTAGATTTAAGGAGGGTGCTGGCCTGGGGGAAGGCATTTCAGTTCTAGGGTGGTACCCAAGTTGAGTGGATTAGCAAGGCTGAGACCTGGGTGGAGAGAATTATGTCTTGGCTCACAGGTATAAAACCTAGTGTGTCTTCTCTGTCCCAGTCAGTAGCTACTTCCAGCGGCTCCCAGAAGCTTCCAGTAGTTCCCAGCAGTACCCAGCAGTACCCAGCGGTTCTTCATTGCTTCTTTCCCAGGTATCGAGACTACAGTGGGTCTGGGGAGTGTAGATTGTCTGTTACAGGGTACTTACTATTGGGAGAATGCTCTACGGATGGACTAGCGGAGGTCTGTGGAAGGATGGGCATGGACAGGCGAGTTCTGGTGACTACTGGAAACTTGTAATTAGGAGGCTGAGAACCGGGTAAAATATTGGATTGTCTGAGCCTGAGCTCCTTCCTCATTGGCAACATGGGAGGCCATACAGGTCAACCAGCATAAAGCTGAGAGTGTGGAGGAGTGGTTCACGTGGGAAAACACAGAAAAAGCAAAGAAAGAAAGGGAGGCCCTGAGTTCAAGTCCCAGTGCCAGCATGCATGCACACACTCATGCACGCACAGAGTCACCCCATAGTTTTACAGTTCTGGAAGCTAAATATGATTCTGGGTGGTAGAAATTGAGCAGACCAAGGCTCTGGCCTCCAGGGAGTCTGGAAACGAGAGTGCTGAGGGTGTGAGCCTCATGGATGATTGAAGATCAAAGGTGACACAAAGTGAATGTACCTCTAGCTGTCCTGTGGTACTCTGCCTTTGGCAAGTAAAAATGGTTTGCAAGCCAGGTGCCGGTGGCTCACGCCTGTAATCTTAGCTGTTCAGGAGACTTGAGAGCCGAGGATCGCGGTTCAAAGCCAGCCAAGGCAGGAAAGGCCAAGAGACTTGTCTCTCTGATTAACCACCAGAAAACCAGAAGTGGTGCGGTGAATCAAGTGGTAGAGTGCTTGCCTTGAGCTGAAGAGCTGAGGGACAGCAGGCCCAAAGTTCAAGCCCCACGACCCACCAAAATAATAATAATAATAATAATAAAAATAGCTTATAGGACCTTTCCACTCTACCCTCTCCAAGCTGGTGAGTGGGGAATTGGGGCTTTTGGAGCCCATGGACTTGCCACTAAGTTAAGTAGGTAGCTACGTTTTTCCCCTCAAGCTTCTAGGAACTTAGTATGTCGAGAGACCCCTCCCTTGTGATAGGACCACCTCAGCTAGAGGCATCCACAAGACCCTCTATGTGCAGGAGAGAATCATCAAGCTTAGAGGTCCCATAAAGAATTTTCTTTGGCCACGTGTTGTGGCTCATGCCTGTAATCCTAGCTACTTAGGCTGAGATTTGAGGATCCTGGTTCAAAGCCAGCCTGGGGCAAGGAAAGTCCCGTGAGATTCTTATCTCCAATTAACTACTGTGGCTCTGTGGCTCAAGTGGTAGAACACTTGCCTTGAGCTGAAGAGCTCAGGGACACTCCCCAGGCCCAGGGTTCAGGCCCTACAACTGACACCCCCCCAAAAAAAAATGTCTTTGGGTGATGTCAGAGAAGAGAGGAGTAGGAGAGACAAAGATGGCAGGAGCTGTCAAACAGGACAGGAATGCAGTTGCAAGTTATGGGGTCAATAATAGCTTCAAATGGTAATGCTTAGTGTAACACAAAGGGACATAGAGTGACCCAAATTATGTAAGAAATAGTAGTCATTAGATTTGCATATCCACAGGCTCCCATTTGCATGCCAGCAGTACCCAAGTAGCCTGTGTTTGCAAGGTCCTACCCAGGGCCAGGGTTAAGTAATGCATCAGTGCAGATTCTCCCAGCAGAGGAGCAGCCCAAGAATAGGAAACCCATGGAATCGACTTAGAATAGTGACTTGGCTTCAAGAAAAGCCAGCTCTGGCTCTGGGCAGAGAATTCATCCTCTGGTGGGAAGTGTAGAAGGGTGTGTGAATTAACATAATCCTTGTTGGAAGTCTGTGGTCTCATTTCACACATCTAGCTGATGCCTGGCTCAGGGGACTTGGTTCCCATCTGCAGGGTTAACTTGGGTGAGTCACTGAGGTTTGAACTTCAAGTTTCCAATTTGTTTAGCAAGGAAGGTCTCGGGCTCAAAGTCCTTCTGAAGGTTGTAAATCTGCACACCTCACTCCACAAGTGGCTTTCGGTTCTTAATTCGGTGATGATTTTGATTAGATTAACTTGGGTTTGCAGGTGACCTTGAATGTTATTTAGGGGGAGGAAAGGGTCTTTGTGCCCCAAGCCCCACATTTCCCGGGCAGCCCCTATCTGGCCATTCCAAAGTAGACTTGCTTTGTACTGGAGGAATCTGAGGTCCATGGCTGAAATCCACACATACTGAGCACCTATGGTGACCCAGGCTTGAGCTTGCAGATCCTTTCAAGGAACAGACAATTCAGGAGGCTTAAAGAGAAGGAAAACATTCCAGAGGGAGTGGGCAGCTTCCTGGTGGTCAGGGAGTCATCTCAGAAGTGGGGACAGGTCAGTCAGTGTAATTTTGCACAAATGTTTGTGCCATTGAGGAAAGGGGAAATCTGACACTTAAACTCAACCACACCAAAACCTGAGGCTATCAGAAAGGGTGAGTGTGGTTTCCAATAGTAAAGCCAGCTGGGTAGGGATTGAAACCAATAACTATGAAACATTTCAGGGCCACAAGAGCAGTCTCTGTGGATTCAGGGGGAAAAAAAAGGCTGCCTTTGATAGGGTACAGCTTCAGGGAAATATAAAAATAATATGGTACAGATTTAAAAAACAACAGAAAGCCATAAAAACTGTAATACTGGGGGGAGCGC